CACCCAACAGCCTCTCCTTTGCCTTTAATCTTTAAAAACCTTGACCAATACTTAAAAATACTATTTTTGATAATCAATCAATGTTTTTTTTTTTTAAAGATTTTATGATTGGTGCAGAATCAGTGTCAATCTTTATTGATTGATAGAGATTGATAGACCTTTGATACAATATGATACCAACCAATATTGTCTGCTGGTATGAGCGGAGTTTCATTGATATTTCAATATTTTAGAAATTTTGATACGATGTGCCTTCTATAGACTATATTGTATCGCTATTTCTTTTGGAGAAGATATTGTATTGCTATTCACTTATTTTGGCTTACTAATTTGGCCTTTTAAATAATCCATTAATCCATTTAATGCAATTTAATTTTAAGTTTATTAGGCAAATATCATTGAAAAACGATCAGAGAGCAAGAAAAATGAAAGAAAGTAACACCCATAAAAATGATATAAAAACAATCTAAACTTCTTGAAGCCTAATGATAAATAATATTTGGGCAGGCAACTATTCTCCTCTTGCGATGCTTTAAAACATCAGATTGGAAATATGTGGTGGACAAAGTGAAAAACAAGCTGCAAGGCTCGAAGTCACATACACTATCACAAGCGGGGGGCGTACAGTAATACCTTTGAGACTATATGTCCCAGTATACCACATGCAGGTGAGCTTATTACCTAAGGCTATTTGTGATATATAAACTCAATAAACTAAGAAGAAACCACATCGAAAAGCTTGGGGCACCTTTCTAAAGCCAAAAGAAAATGGGGGCCTAGCTAGGTCTAGTAGATGTGGGCCGAATTGAAGAAATAAAGCCCTAGTTACAAAACTTTGTTTCAGCATGCTAGTCCACACACTAGAAGAAACTGAGCTTTTCCTCTGCACTGTCCAAAAGTTACTTCCATTAGAAAGGTAGTTATAAAACTTAATTTCTTGGCGTTTTTGCACCCAGCGTGAGGCATTGTGGGTGAAGGTACTCTCAGCTAAATACCATTCTAATGGAAGTAACTTTTGGACAGTGGAGAGGGAAAGCTCAGTTTCTTCTAGTGTGTGGACTAGCATGCTGAAATCTAAGGAAAATCCTTGTCAGATGGATAAGTGGAGAGATGGCTGGTCTCTGTGGAGGCTTTTCATGCACCTTGGGTGGGTTCCTAGCTAGGTAATGGATTCACTGAATCCATTGACTCAAGGTTTGGAGAGGGGAGACACAGTTGATTGACCACTACCAGGAAACAATGCACACTGGAGAAGGGAAATGTTAAGCTTTACAGCATTTTGAAGAAAACTTTTATATATGATGTTCTCTCTCATCTGAGGACCTCCATCTCTCTATTTCCCAACATTTCTTATGCGCGCATATCCCAATAGTTCACACTTAAAATAAAAAGTCCATTAGTCCACTGTGTTCATGTGTTTCTCAAAGGTTATCAAGATGCCTCTTCCAACTGCCTTTCCATACATGTTACATTACTGATATTGCTCCGGTCCATTCAATTTATGCCATGAGTAATGCTACCTCTTTTCCAAAACAACTAGTACAACAGATAATAAGATGCCTATAATATGGAATAGGATTGGTAAGGGTGTCAATGGACCGGTTTTGGGATTCTTCTCGTCCAAATCAAAATCATGTTGGATGGGTTGGATGCACCACTAAGACATATTGAATTCGATGAGTCTATACTTCATGGTCTAAAGTATTTATGGGACTGGATTACACCTAGTCCTTCCGTAATGGATTCTTTATATTGAATTGAGCTAGATTGGACCAATATCCAGTCCATTGATGAAAGATAAGAATACAGGTGTCATTGGAGATTGAAATAAATCTAACTTAAAACAATTTTGAACAGTCCTGAGTCCTCACATTGAATTGGACCGGTCCAAAATGATTCAAAGTATTCATTTGATTGGACTGGACATGGCCCATTTTTAATGAACTCATATTAGACCAGATCGGATTGGACCAAATCCGGTCTAATTGACACCACTAAGGATCGATTGGATTGAATTGTTGACTTGTATATATTAGTCCAATTTCTTCAGTCCTACGTATTTTCTTACAAATGTGGAACTCAAAATTTGATGAGTTTCAATTTTAACCTTTTTCAGCTTCAACTTGTTGCTCTAGGTTAATGAGGTTCTATGTCTCTAGTCTCTACAACTCAACTTTAGTGAGGCTGCAACTTGAGTAGTTACAACCCAATCCAACCAAATTCAACATGCACGAGTTTTTGCACAGGTTGGGCCTGGATGCTTGAATTTTGGGCTTGATTTCTAGCAAAAGCTCATCCTTTTCCTAAACTTGGGTTGGGCTTGGGTTTAGGCCTTGGATAGCCTGAGGTTAGACTAGGATTAGCTTAATCCAACCTTGTAGCAACACCCCATTTTACAAAGAGTTTTAGTTGTACATAGAAAAAAAATTCATATAAAGCGAACCAAGCTTGTCTATCCATTGTTAACACCAAGTTTAATGTGCATGCCCCCTCATTTATATATAAAATGTTTATATATTTGGTATATAAATCCAAATCAAAGGTGAAAGTGCAAAAGATGAATGAAAAGGCTTCCAAACCTTACCAACCCACCTAAGCCCACTTGGGTCCATGCAAACCCAATCCCGCTGTGAATTGGGATTATTTTGAGCCGAATCTAGGTTGGTAGACTTGATATTTGATCAAGGCCCAAGGGGTGATAGAGGCTTGGGTTAGATTGGGTTGAAGTTGAGTTTAGGTTGAAGCAGAAAAATATGAACCCAACAACTTTTTTTTTTTTTTTTTAATTCTAAAGCTTAACAGAAAGTACCACAAAGAAGGTTTACAAGATCTTAAAACAAAAAATACCAGAAACATCCTCCCAAAGAAAAGGCACAAGATCACTCGGAGGATTATCAAAAAACCTAATTCTATATATGTTCTTGGTCATGAGCCTTTTCAGCTAACATGTCAGTGCACATGTTCGCTTCACGATAACAGTGAGACAAAAAGATATTGGGAATTTGATCATCCATCAACTCTAGCGTACTTCTGAATAGGGGTGAGCAAAAATAACCAAAAAACCGAATCGGCCTAAACTGAACTGAAAAATCGGTTAATCAAGCTGATTGGTTTGGTGTTTTTAAAATATTGAAGGTATCGATTCGGTTTCAGTTAATCAATATAGAAAATTGGCGGTTAACCAAACCAATCGGTATATATATATTCTATATATTTTATATATATTTATGTATATTATATATATTATTTTTTATATATTATAAATATAAATATATGTATTTATAATATATGATATATTATTTATTAATTAAAATATATTTTTATATATATTTATAATTTTTATTATATATTTATATAATACATATTATAAAAATTGAAAACCCAAAAAACCAACGAATCGAACCGATGATTAACTGTACTGGTCAACCAATTAACCGACTGGTTTCGATTTAATTTTGGTTACCGATTTTTCAAAAACCGATAATACTGGTTCAATCCTAAAAAAAGCCCCACAACCGAACATGAGCACCCCTACTTCTGCCATTTTTGACTGCGGCAGGATTTAATTAAGAGCTGATATAGTTGAGAAAGAACCGGGCAGGACTCAAGCAGCAGCTTAAAATATCCTCTTTGAAGAGCTTGTTTGACTCATTCGTGAATAAGCCACAACTCTGCCATATGGATAGAGGTTTGCCCAATGAAGATGGAGAAACCTCCTTTCCATATCACTTGGAGAAGGGTTAGCCCAAAGATATAACAAAGCCTCTTCCAAACTTGGTTTCCTAATATATAAATATTAGTATGACGAATCTGTTTGTGCTGAAAGATAAATTTATTTCTAACCTTCCACATATTCCAAATTAAAAAAAAAAAAACATAGAGTTGATGCTTGCTGTCTTCCTAGGTTTTTAACCATGTTTTAAAATCTTGTTGGGGAGGTCGAAATGAGAAATGGATTGAGCCAATGTGCATCTACTAAACAGATGCTCAACTGTTTCAGATTCAGTTTGGCTCGCAAATAGCACATATATCATTAATGATTTAAGATATATTGCGATACATGAGGTAAGGATTGAGGGTAGGGGTGGATTTGGTCCAATCCGGTTCAGTTCAATGTGAGTCCATTACAAATGGACCTGGTCCAATCTAGTCCAATGAATATTTTGGACCATTTTGGATCGGTTTAGAGACTGTCCAATCTGTTCAAGTTCCTATTAATTTAGATTGGTTTCAACTCAAACTTGGTCCATTGACACCTATGTTCTTATCTTTTATCAATGGACTAGATATTGACTCAATTCAATATAAATTCATTATGGACGGATCAGGTCTAATCCAATATGTCATATTGGTCCGTCCATTCCATCTAAATTCAATATGTCTTGTTAGTCCGTCCAATCTGTTAAAATGAATTTTAATTTTGATGGAGTCCTACTCAAAACCGGTCCATTGACACCCCTGATTGAGGGTTGAGGCCTTGGACAACTTGACCCAACTTCAACACAACATATCTAAGAGTGAAGAGTGTTTGAGGGAAATGGGAAATAATCATACGAGATCAATAAGTAGCTTTTGGATGGGCGTGGCGTCGGCCAAAAGCTCTACTCCCATTTTCTGTCCTTGCTCAGCGAGTCAGCGCCAGCGGAATAAACTCAAGCTAAACGCTACCCATCTTTATTATCGGCCTAAACAGTTTGTGCTTTGCAGGCCTACCCTGCTACTCCCCGGCCCCACCCACAATGGCGTATTCGCTCAAATTGGGTCACCCGAATCCGACTTTTCATCCGAGGTTCAACTATTCGGGTTTTTTGTCTATTAATGAATAATAAAGTCGGGTTTATGTTAGGGTTTTCCTCAGCCAACCACCCACCCACCCTAAAATGTGGCCTATTAGCTTAAATTAGCATGACAGTCAACGGTCAGCAGGAGCCCCAAGAAGAGTCAAATAGCGGATAAACGATTTTGATTTCGCTACATGTATGATGTAAGATGTAACCCTCCCGAATCCATATATCCGTTAGTTATCCCTGCTAACTGAAATCCCTCCTTCCCTCCCTTATTCTCCATCCATCTCTCTCTCTCTCTCTCTCTCTCTCTCTCATGCGACTCCATCTAGAAGAACGGAAAAAAATAAAGAATTTTCACTAAAAAGAAGAGAAAATGGGAAAGCTTCTCTGCGATACAACCGCCATCGCTGAAACTTTTCATGTTTCGTCACCGATTATTCCATGGAGAGAGGCTACTTCAGCTTCTTTCTGTGCTCCCGACACCGTCGCTCTCACAGGCAATAAGAGCTGGGAAACTGTCAGCGGTTTAGAGGACCAGCAAAAGCGATATCTTCAGAGACTCCATGCGAAGGGAGTCCTGTGGAAGCATCCCCAGGGTCACATTTCTCCGGCGAGGTCCATGATTTTCCAACTCTCGCATGGGGGTGACGTTGAGGCCGATGGCAACTGTCTCTTCTCAGCATCGCAGAAGGCAATGAGAATATCTATCGATGCCAGAGAACTACGGCGGAGAACGGTGAGGAGGTTCTTGGACGATCTCGGATCCCAGGGTGGTCTCGACAGAGCTTCAACCGATGCGGTCATTAAACATCTTTACTCTCCCGATTTGAAAGCTGGTTGGGGTATACATGTCGTCCAGGAGGTGAAATTATTGGCGAACAAGGAGGATCGCGTTGCTCTGGACGTAGCCATCAACGAGCTCGTTGATCTTGGCTTGCAGAGGTAATCAATTCTTAGGGTTTCCTGTATATGATTTTGTTTTTGAAAAGAAATAATTTGTTTTTATTATTTTTCCCTTCTTTAACCTTTTCGTGTTTTGGCATTTTTGGAGTTGGTTTTGAACCTTCATTTGTATCTTGTGATACGCTTTTAATATGGTAACTTTTGTATTTTTAGTGTGTTTTATAAAGATGCTTTCTTTTTTCCTTCTAGTTTTTACTAGATAGGATTTTGAGAGGCGCATCGAATTAAAGGGTACAATTTGTAATAGTAAATGTGTTATTGATGCGAATAGGGTGGGCATTTCTTAAAAGTGATCGATTCTCTGGCGTTAGCTAGTTATTTGTTTGTTTGTTTTTCATTGATATAATTGAAGGGAAATGGCTGCGGAATCCATATATAAAGAGCGATGCATTCCTGTGGATGATAGCCTGAGTTGGACCAAATACATGTCCATCTCTGGTAGTGCTGACGATAAATATGACATCATCAGTTTGCAATACACCGAAGAGGGCTTATTGACTGTAGATGAGAACAGAGAAGGACGGGCCGCTGCTTTTGGAGATGATATAGCGATTGAGAGTCTAGCAACTGAGTTCAAGAGGGAGATATATGTGGTGAGAAGATGCATTAATTAGCCGGATTTTGCTTATTCCTTTGTTCTATTTTGGTACTTAAACCTGTTGGATTTTCGATATTGAGTCTTACTTCTGTTTTGATGAGATGTGGAACATTGTTAGCATAGTGGATTTTATTACCTCTATTGTTTTCTGAGAAGTTGACATTGACATATTATTTTGACCTTTTGCTATGTGAATTTTGATTAGCGATAATGTATAGATTTGTGAGATGATCACTTGCACACATGCCTTACTGCTATCTAAACTTGATGTGCTAACATTCCCTGTTATAAACTTCACATGATAATGACTTTTCAGAGTACATATATTTCTTTATATAAACGTCTACCTATATCACATACTTAAATTGATGCTGCACAAGTCTACATTTGGACAATTTGCACTTATACCTGTACCCTTATTGGCTTATTGCACCAATGCCGTCTCTCTCTTTCTCTTCCTCTTCTCTTCCTAATCTAATGAAATTTAACAGCATGTAGAACCGTTAGCCTGGAAACTTTCCCCATAGCAGGTCCAATTTGAAGCTCAATCGGGAAAGGCAGTGCATCAAATGACTGCTTGAAAAGGAGTAATGAACTTTTTCTTTTGGTTTTTTGATTTATAGGGCATCACTTAAAGGAAAAAGTTTTGCAGCTGGTTGAGTGTCTTGAGAGTAAGAATGTAAGATAATAGATACTGCCAAGTAGGGAAAGAAAGCATCAGGATGATGAAAGATGGAATTAGAAGAAAAAGGCTGGAATCAGTTGTCTCATCTTCCATTGGACACCATTAATGTGGATATTGATGTCACTTTCCATTAAGATTTGTGAGTCTCTTTGTATACTGAGTTTTGTGTTTCATCAATAGATCTTTAATATAGAGATTTATCAAAAAAAAAAAAGATCTTTAATATAGAGCATCTGTTCCCTTTCTTTTCTTTCCATCAACTATGGGAAGTTATTGAACACACTATAATTTTTAAAATGCTTTAGTTTGAACTTGTATTACAATTTAAGTAGAGTGTAGGACTGGTTATAGTTATGATGAGATCAAGCTTATGGCAATGTCACTTTTAACAGTTTTGGTAGAGCATTAGTGTCTCTTGTTGTTAACCTTTTGTATGTTTGTAAGTTTTATTTCAGAAAAAAAAAAACTGTATTTACTAACTGCCTTATCAATGTAACATTTTTTAGGTTCAAGCCCATGGATCAGATGGAATGGTTGATGAAGAGAACTGTGTTTTCTTCCTTCCACACCGTCCAAGGAGTGAAATTTGTGAACTTCCTTTTTTTCTTTTCATGAAAGGGACAGGTAAATAGTCATTTATCATCATCATATAGATGCAGTTCTTTTTGCGACTGTCATGGCAAAAATGTCAACTATATGATTTGTTTTTGCATGGAAACATCAGGCGCTTGTGCTTATGATTCTCATGTCTCAAGGGCTGTGCAGTATTGTGGTCATGGTTTTATTTATCAATCATTATCGAAAGGGAGGAAGATTAACACAAGGGAGGATGTAGCCTGTCTTGCCTTAGAACCCAAATACAAAGCACACAACTTCACCCTCTCAACCCAACCTACAAGACAAAATAAAGAAAAACAATGGATAGGGACACAAACAAGAGCCAAAGAATACTACCCTATACATAAAACTGGATGTTTCTGATAGTCTTCTTTTAGTAGCTTCACTAGGTTGTGTGGAGCATTCTGCAAGGAGCTGTAGATTAAAAAATTTTTCTGATCAATGCCCCTATTGGCCAAGAACATGAGAGAATTTAGTGTGCATAATGGATCTCATTTTTTGAATTGCATGCAAAATACAAGTTATACTCCATTTGGAATAGTGTTTTTCTTAAGAAGGATATCAACCAGGCATTTGTTGTCACTTTCCACCCCAACCACCAAGGTCCACCATTATACCTTGGTTGAGACAAAGCTTGAGACCACAACAAAGAGATAATAATTCAGAAATGATAGAAGAGCCATCACCATAATAGTTATGGAAGCCCAAACAGAGCATACCAATGTCATTTCTCACAACACCATCTCCTCCACTTCTACACGGATTTCCTTGGCAATGAGCCCCATTAACATTCAACTTAAAATGAAATTCAATAGGGAGCTTCCTGTAGACCCAATGAATGCTAGTTCTCTTTAATTGTCTGATGGAGATGTTAAGAACTTCTATTGCAAAGGACTTGTCGATGAAAGATGGATTTGCTCTAACCAAACTTAATTCTATAAACCATCTATTAATTTTCCTAATGAGAGTTGAAGCTGGAGCACTTTGACCTTCAAATCTATGGCTGCATCTCTCTTTACAAATTAATCACATCATGAGCAGAATTTTGTAAAGGTGATCAACTTGAGAATGTCTTACAACAAGGTTCCACCACATATAAATTGTCAACCACATTTTGAGATTGAAATATAGGGACATTAAAGAGATTGCTATAATAGTTCCACAGTTTATTTGCTAGAGCCCTATTGGCAAAAACATGTTTAAAATCTTCAACACTATGACAACAAAGAAACAACATTTAGAAGCAAGTTGAGTACACCTTTTATTATTAGCATCATCAAGAGGAATGACGCCATGGTGAAACTTCCAAATAAAAATAAAAATTTTTGTAGGAAGACCCAAATTCCAAAAACATAACTAATGCGCATTTGTGTTATGAATTCTAATAATGTTCCAGGTTGGAGAGAGAGAGAGAGAGAGAGAGAGAGAGAGAGAGAGAGAGAGAGAGCTCATATATTTGGATTCACATTCCAAAGAAGTTTATCATCTTCATCAATAATAGAAACTCTAGTCAATTCAACCAAATCTATAATGAATTGAGGAGGTGGAATCACTGAATCAAAACGCCAATTGCCATCTAGAAGTAAGACTTGATTCAAGGAGAAGTCTTGAACATTTCTATTTTGCATTTCATATACAAGGGGGGCTGAACCTATCTAATTATCATACCAAAAAGAAACCTCACTATTCCCAATCAACCCATTTACAATAAAGTACCATTGTATCTTTCAACTCAGTTATATGTTTCCAAACTTTTGAGCCCATTCTCATAAAAGACAGAGGGTGGAAGTGAAAGCATTTGCAACATCAATCATATGTTTCCTTTGAATAAGACGAAAGCAAGCTTTGATAGTAAAAGCATTTGCAACATCATAGAGTGATCTAATGGCAAGACCCCCCCCCCTCCCCCCACCTGAGAGGATTGCAGATTTTTTGCCATCCAACCCCAATGCAACTTGTTTCCATGGTCAAGATCCCCAGAAGAAATTGGCAAATAAAGAATGAATCCTATTGATAACAACTTGAGGAGTAACAACACTAAGAATATGAATTGACATAGATTGAAGAACATGCCTAATGAGAATCAAGTGTTCTCTAGATGATAATAATCTTTCCACCCCTCAATTTTCTTTTGAATTTTCATAACAATGGGCTCAAAATCAACAATTTTTAGCTTCATAAAACCAATGGGAGCTCCAAGGTAGATAAAAGGAAACTGTTTCTATTTAAAACCATTGACATGTTTGATCATACTCACAGTTGAAGCACTCATCTTTGGGTGAATACAAAGCATGATTTCTCTTTACTTACCAATGGCCAGATGCTTTCTCATGAACTGAAAGAAAAGACATGAGATTCATAAGGTCCTATTTCTCTTCTCTAGCAAAGATTATAGTGTCATCTGCAAAAATACTGAGACATAGAAATGCAACCTCTAGAAAGGGGCATAATAAAGAACAAAACCATTTTTGGTAAATTGCATTCAAACCTCTACTCAAAACCTCCTCCACAAGAATAAAAGGACTAGGAGAGAGGGGATCACCTTGCCTTGAACTCCTTTTAGAGTGAAAGTAACCAGTAGGAGATCCATTAATCATGACTGAACACCAGTAATTGCACATGCAGAGAAGAATTAAATCAATTCAGATATTGTTGAATCCAAACTTGCAAAGAGCAGCAAAGATAAAATTCCAGTTCATCATGTCAGACTATGGCAACATCCAGTTTGAACATATTCCAGTTTATGGGTTTATTCCAACTGACCAACCAATAAAAATGATGAAATATGACAAATTACTGTTTCTCATTAAAGTCTGGTAAAATCATATTAACCACCACGTCTTGCTGCAGTTTCTTGTTTTTTTATTTACTTGTTGATAGGAACTATTGTAGATATATGGCACAAGTGCCCCTGAAATTTGTTTTTTAATATCTTTGTATATTCAGGTTGGTGTGGTGCTGGAGCTGATCACTATGAGCCCCTGATAGCCAATCCTGCTCCACTTGGTTTCCAAGAAAAGGCTGTTGTTGTACTCTGAGGTTTGTGGCTTAGAGGTTATATCCATCATGACTTGTTGCATTTTTAATGTTCTTTTTATGTACTTGTTGACAGTAGCTATTTGTAGATAAATGGCACAGGTACCCCTGATTTTTTTTTTAATATCTTTGTATGTTCAGGTTGATGTGGTGCTGGAGCTGATCACTATGAGCCCCTGATAGCCAATCCTGCTCTACTTGGTTTCCAAGAAAAAGCTGCTGTTGTTCTCTGAGGAAGCCAGTAATCCAGTTTTGCGGCTTAGAGGTTAGATAGACTTGGAGTGTTTTGATTTGTTATTATTTTTAAATGGGTGGCGAGCAACATAGTCCTCGCTATTCCTTCCAGGGCTGCAAGGAAAATTTCCATTGCACACCTTCCATTTCTAATCAGATTTTTTCTCACTGTTGACTCTAACCTTTAGGTCTATTTTTCTGTGCTTGAGATCCCCTGTAGTAGTACATCTGTAACGATTTTGGCGGCTTTCTGATGTTTAGTTTCTTGAGTTTGTTGAGAGATCATTGTCTTGATATTGTATTGTCGGGGCATTCTGTATTGGCATTGTTTTTTTGTATCCTTTTTCTTGATTTGAATGGTAAATTTCCTTATTCTTTTATCATGAACGTGTCTTATTATCCAACAATGCATTGATGAGTAAAACTAAACGATTTATTTGACTTTAAGGAAGTTCTTTGAGTGGCAACAATTGAAGAAAAAGTAACGTTGAAAATCCATTTTTTGATTGTTATAATGCTAAGAATTCATAGAGAGGGTCTTTTTTGTAAACTTTTTTGGATTCTCATAAATGTATGGAGAAATTCCAATCACACTACTAAGACTTGCCAACTCCTGAGAGGAATCAGGATTAGCAATGAAGAGAGAGAGAGAGAGAGAGAGGAAAGGAAAGGAAAGGAAGTAATTGTTTAACTGAATCTAACAATTTGAAGATCATTTCAGTTATGATCTAGTTTGTCTCACCATTATACACATTCTGGAATGATTTCTAACTTCTTTCTTCTAAGGAATATGTGTGCCTTTCAAATCTGCTCTGCATGTTTTGTATTCACAGGGCCTGATTTCTAACCTCTTGTGTTGATGGTATTTATATTGATATTTGAGTCATGCTGGTGAGATTGCATTCTTCCAAGTCATTCAATGGCACACATTGCAAATAAGGTGGCTACTATGCTGTTTATGGAGCACCATTGTTTGACTGATTCCCACTCTTCTCTTCCTATTTCTTATTAAGGGATTTGCTTTATATTAATGACAGAAAAATATTCTGCAACTTATTATGTGTAGGTTTGGTTGGATGGATTCACATTGTATTCTAGTTACCAACAACCATTTCATGTTCATTTGACACGTTTAGCTACAAGCAGAAAATCGGTTGCTATTGCTTTGTGAAGGAAGACTTTTGTGTTTTCAAGGCCTGCTTTTGCAAGGAAATAATTACTGACAGCATTTTTTATCAATTTATTTCCATCACTCTCTAATGATCGGATCTCCTGCCCACGAGAACTTTGCTCACGTTTACCCACAACACACTACTGTGCATAATACTATGTAGAGGATGAAATATTCCCATATGTGATTATAATTTTATGTGGATAAACGTGATCCGAGTTCTTGTGGGCAGAAGGTCCAGACTCAAGATTCATCGTCTCCAAAAGCCCATCGAATGTATTTAACACTTTTTGGCATCATTACCATTCCATTTTTGTCGGTTGCTAGTGGACAAAACGAACGGCTTATTTGGGTTTTATTAGAATTTATTTAATTGGTTTTGTGGGAAAAGACTCTTTGGCGATATTCAGTTTTTGACATGATTCTCAACCGATGTGCTTGGCTAGTTTCTCCGTCTCCGAATTATTGGGTATAAGGAAAGCTGAGATGGAATGCTAATGATCTCAACCAGTGATACCTGCATATAAACCTCGTCAGATGCTTTCTACAGTTTCATCATAGAGCTTGTTAGTTTTGTTGTTGCTTGTGGATTTTCAACAACATTATCCACGGACTCCGGATCTCCTGCCCACAATAACTCATGCATACGTTTACTCTCACATTACCCTGTACATAATACTATGGAGAAGGATGAGACATTCTTCATGTGTGGCTGTGATGATATGTGAATAGACGTGGGCAAAGTTATTGTGGGCAGGAGACTCTTTACGCCAATCTCACAGTGTGTTCCAGCCACACATCGGGAACACTTCCCATATTTGTATGTTATTATTTATGAGAGATGTTTTCAATACACAGTGGGATGTGGCTGTGAGGTCGGTGTGAAGAGCGCTCACAAGAGCAGATCTCAATTCCTCTCTAATAGTTTATTAATCAATTTATGCTCAGGGTTCATGGGAAAAGATCTATGGTAGAAAGGACAGACCATGCTTCTTTGATATTTTGATATTTGCACCAGACATTTTGATATTTTACAGTTCTCAACTTGAAAATCTAGGTAGTTATTTGGTGCATCTTTCGGTCTGCTGGAATCTCAAAAGACCAAAAGAAATGGTGTTCTCCCATTTGGCATTGTGTAGATTGAAAGATCTGAAGACTAGTGTGCGGAAAATGGAAAAGCTCATGAAGCTTTAAATAAAGTTTTTGGTGTTTTGACACTAAAAGTAGCCTTCCCAACTGTTTTAAACCAGTAGACCATGATGCAATCAAACAATCTTGGTCTTTAAATCAGGGTTCAAAATATCGGTACGCTTGATATGCTGGTAGTGGTATATCGGGCAGTATCGATAGCTTTTTTTTTTTCATTTTTTTAGTTTTTTTTTTTTAATCTGGTTTAGAGGGGCCGGTTAAGGTCCATCCACCCTCTGAACCGGTTGAGGCCCCGAAACACTCCTTATAAGGGGCATATCGGGAAGCCCCCGATATAATACATATTGACTGATACAACCTGATATGTATCGATACTTTGAACCTTGTTTTAAATACAAAATCCAAAAGCTTAATGCATCTTCTCATCTATTGGACTGTTGAAAGATCTATCTAGAAATACTTGCCAAACAACCCTTGAATCTAAACACAAATAAACAGAAAAGTTAAAATTATGAAGGATGTGAACCAAAAAATTTGGATGAGGTTGGTAGAGAAGATGCTTCCAAGAGCTCGACAGATTTGCACATGGTTGGGACCATATCAACTCTGTCAAAATGAATTGGCCAAAGTGGCTGAAGATTTACAATTTTGTTAGTTTGTTCTTGAAAATGTGTGAAAATAAACAAAGACCCTATTTGGTGGTACATTGTGCTACTTTCAACAACACCCAGGTATAAAGTAAATGGTATATTTCTGAACATCATTGATGTCATTCTGAAGATAATTATAATCAGAAATTAAACACAAGATGGACGTAAATTTCTTAAATACATAGAAGAAACTTGGCAGTAAAACGTTAAGAGGTGGAGATAATCCCTGATAGAATTTCTGTTGCCGCCGGAGCAGTCCACTTAGATTTATGTTTCCACATAACCAGAAAATATCTATGTTTGGCAAATTAGTAAGGGCTATTGTTAAATTACAAATTCTAATTGTTGAGGGAGATTAGTCCGTAAAAGGGTCTCTCAGGTGTTAAAATCAGGTCGCAACATTGTTAAGGTGCCTATTATCATTTAAGATTGACTTCTTCTTCAGCGTGTGGTTCAAGCATTCTCCAAATTCTGTTACAAGCAAAATAGGGTCCAATGGGAGAGGGGATCTGTGAGCAGAAAAGGCACTTTTCACTGCATTCAGCGTTTGTATTTTCAGTTTGTAGTCAAATCTTAGTACATTATTGAGAAATCCAATTCTATGATATAAAAACTTTGTATGCCAGGAGCTAGGGGAAGGTACAAAAATCGCTGGACTACAAAGTGTGGGGCTCATGCCACTTAATATGTTTTGAATTATTACTTTAGCCACTTTTTTAAGCCTATTCACTTTTTTGTATGTTTATGCTTTTTATAATATTAGTAAACGTGTACATGCATTTGCATGTGGCAGTATCAAAGATTAGAGGCCAAACGAAACTCTACATCCATACATGGTGATCAAAATATTAAATGCAGTTAATTCACCTCAAGTATGTTAACAGAGAAATTGAAGATTGTTGGCAAAGCTTTTCTTCCCACATAACTTTCTGCATCAACTTTAAATGTTCAAACTGGATTTCGATTTTGAGAATATCAAGTCCAACTTTGAGCACAACCTAGACGTAGAGGAAGTAATTTGGTAAGTATATTCAAGGGAAAAAAATTCAGTTCAGCAAAAAAAAAAAGGAAAGGAAATGAAGAAAAAAAGAGAATCTCTAATACCTATCAATCCGGTTTTTGAGCTTCAACAAAAATTTCTCATTATCCTCTTCTGCAATTCTCAACAACCTCTCAATATCAATTTCTTTGGTTTCACCCCCTACTCCAGACAATAGACATTTCCTTATATGATTATAAGTGGACAGTTTCTCAACGGTTATAAGTAAACAGTTTCTAAGCGATTATAAGTGGATAGTTTTTGAAATGAGAGTAAAGGACATATATGCCCTCTAACAAATATTGTAGAAAACGTCTAGTAAAAATTTAATAAAAAAAGAACATTCGCTCTTTTATAGATAATATAGATAATATATGTATAAAATATCTATGTTTGAAGTCAAAATACAAATAAAGCGACTTAAAACCTAAGTTGACAACAAACCATTAAATTAACATTTGAGTATGATGTCAACATTTTATATAATATATTTGAGTATGATGTCACTGGTCACTGATCAACCCAATGGTTAGGCTAGCTTGTGTGTATGATCCTGTAAGCAAAACGGATGTGTGTCTGATCCAAGGCTGACAACACTGGAATGATGAATATCTTTATATTAAATACACTTTGTTTTGAGTGGGGCAATAGGTAAAGGTGCCAATTGATTTGTACCTTCATTTGGGTAAGTAGGGCTACAAATTCTTTCAATCATTTGTAGGTTGGAGAACATTTCAATTAAGATATTCTGAATTCCAATTTAATGTACGTATTAGTGGTTTTCAATATCCCAAATCCATTTCGAGTCCACTCTTGTTAAGATTCGGATATTCAAATTTGAGTATTGTTTAATTATTAAATCTAGACTTAGGCACATATATATTTGATGTGGTCCAATCCATCTAAAAGCTCGCTAGTTTGTTGTTGATAGTGGAGAATGAGTATCGAATCCCACCTTTGGCTTATTTTGACCATTTTCTCTTTCTACTGTCATATGGAGAATTTGATGTTGATAGAGAAAGTCGTTGTACCCAATCCATTATGGATGGACCAAGTCCAATCCAATGTAATAAGTACTTTGCACCATTAAGTCTGGACTGATCCAATTTAATATGTCTTATTGGTCCAGTTCATCCACCCAAACTGGTTTTGATTTGGCGGAATCCACCCCAAAACCGATCAATTGGTACCCCTACCTACTTAGATGGACATGGAAGAGAGGAAATTACTTTAGGGTTTTAACGTGTATTATAGGGTTTCATTAATTGTAGACTTGATAGGTAAGCTAAACATCCCAAGGGGCAAGGGAATAAGAAAATATGGTGTGCCTCAATCCCTTTCACAACTTTTACATAAGCATAAGCATAAGCATGCAACTGGGGCAGGGGGCACAGAATGAAAGACTATATAAATAAACCATCATTAGCAAATAAATTGAGCTCAAGGGACTTAAAAATATCTCTTGTTCTTATCAGCCTTCCCCTTTTTGCACTTTTTTCTACCAAGGCTCATTCTTATATTGTTCCTCCCTGCCACTCTTCCACTTTATGTACTACTTGCATTATTTTATTTTATATATCTATAATGCACATACAATAATACCATTTCACATATCCCTTTTCTGACTTTTACTCTCTCTCTCTCTCTCTGTGAAAAGGGAATCTGGGAAATCTTCTTTTTTTTTTTTTTTTTTTTGCAAAAGCTAGTGTCAATTATACATATTAGAAAGAGGTCAGCTACAAACAAGTGGTATAGGGAGATTGAAGAAGGAAGGTTGAAACCAACAATTAGAAATCATAAATCAGAATTCAGAGGGCGATCAATGAGCCAGCACCAATCACTGCTGAGTGCTGATTACCTCACCCTCATCTCCCTTTACAGTCCATCCCCATATAGATGATGCATCTACAGGAGACTATTACCTAACCTAATAAAGATTCACTCACCACTCACCACTAAAAGTCTAAAATTAAGTAGTGGTGGTGGTGGTGGTGGTGGCTACATATACTTAATTATTAGCTTTGTATATAACAAAAATACTGTTTTGTTACTCCCTTGATTGATATATTATTTGCAATTAAAGGTGCAGGTGTCAAGCTCGCCTACTTGTTGCCAAATTTAATTAATATCAACGGCTGGGATTTTGGGTGTTGAGGTGTCACGGGATCCTTAGCCCACAAGTTTGGTTAACTATATATATATATATATATAACTAGTTGGGCCGAATCCTAGCCCCATGCAATGCCAAGCTGATTTCGTTCCACTTCCTCTCAACTATGCATTTTGAAAATTGGAAACGAACTCAGATTCACTCATCATGCAACTTAATTTAGTTGGCATCTTTCTACATTGTACAAAGAAGAAGGGAAGCAAGATCAACCTGGCCGAATTTGTTGACTGAGCTGCGTTTCTAGCTAAATCCTAGTCGTTTGTGCTCTGCGACTGAAAATTGGAGTTGAACACAAGGTCAGCGATAGAGGGAGATTTGAGTAATTAAGCAAAGTATATTCCAGTTTGTTGCTGCAGCCGGGTACATGCTCGATTCCCAAAGTTGATTCAAAGGAATATTTAAAGACAAATTCATGATTCATGTACATATGTATGGGAAGTGGAGCTAAATTTCCTAGTTTGACCATGGGAATGGGAATGTGAGCCCCACACCCCCTCAGTTGGTTGGATCTCTTTCTCACTGTAGCAGAGACCTGAGATCAAATCTCACCGTCACCAGGTTTGAGGTGTAGTTAATTGAGGGGATGGGGGAGGGTTACCTCGTTGTATATATCCCTATCAAGCAAAATAATAATAAATGATTAACAATAAACAGTTCTTGTAGACCTGTAGCTGTATCATTTCTTCGTTAATGTGCGTGCGGTGGTGTCGGCGATGCTCAGTGGTAATTTCGGCCGGCCCAATTCAAGGCCAAACTGACCCAGCCTATAGTTTTACACCGGAAAAGGACTTAAATTTTTTATTCTCGGGTTGGGGCTAGGCCCAAAATATTGGGCTTTTAAATTTTTCGGCCTAGGCTCACTGGCTCAGGCCTATCCTTTAGGAAGCCCTACCTGATCTTGAGCCAAACCTCATTATATATATACTTTTTTAATAAACTATTTGTAGGGGTGAGCATGAGTCAATTTGGTTCGGTTCAGTTTTATGGTAGAACCTGGAACATGGAACTTACCTTGTAGGGAGGGATTGGTTTTAGGTTTTTGAAATCGAAACCTACCTTGCAAAGGTTGGTACCAAGGTCAGTTTTAAGGTTTACCTGTAGAACTTGTTTTTTCTTTACTCTTGCCTTTAAAAAAAATGATATTCTTTAAAAACTTGATTTTCAGTAAATATAATATATAATTTAAAACTTATATAATCTTTATTGATTAAATTGAGTAATTTAATATGTAGATTATTATAGTATATTAATATATGATTTAGAACATATCATTCTAATTATAATTTTTTTTTTAAATATTATCTTTTGCATTACTTATTATACACATTCAAATATTAAAATGAAAACAAATAATCAAATCACTTAAATAACTCAATGGTCAAGTAAGACCATGTCCTTTGTAACCATGAATATTTGAGTACAAATCTTCACATCTTCAAAAATAATTTGGGGTTTACTTTAAGGCAAGTTCAATTCCAAGACTAACTACACCAAGGCCAACCAATACTGGTTCATCGGGTTAGTTTGGGTAGGGTAAAACCCTAGACCTTGGAACCAGCATAGGTGGGGGTCAATTCTAAGAATTTGGAACTAGATCCTACTCTGTAATAGATTGGGTAGGATTGGTTCAAAGCCAATTCGAGATTGATTCTATTCGGCTCTGAATAAAACCTACCTATTTGATCACTCTTACATATATATGCATACATGCATACATATACACACATACATAGAAATCAATTTTTAGTATGGACTAATTGACCAACCAGAACCCAACCCTAGTCCAAACCCAATTCGAAAATGCATCAAATTTTAGTAGATGTTGAACTCGACTAAATAGTTTTGACTTAACCTCAGACTCGGGCTTTAAACCCAATTCCTGGGTTGGGACTAGGTTGAGCTAAAATCCGGTTCAGCCAGCCCAACTTGCACTGCACCCCTAGTGGTTGCATGACAATGGGACAGGATTGGACCGGACCGAAGTATATTAGTAGAAGATGATATCTGATATCGTTTTATAAATCTTTATTTTGCAAAAAATAATTAAAAGTGAACTTGAAATGAAACGTGAACCATATGACAACCAAAAGCAACTCCTACAGTCTTGCTATAGCTAAAAGCATAAAAGCATTAAGCATGGCAAATTTCAATTCTACCAAAACTAACTCCAATTATTCCATGCACCTCTCACTGAAGTTAAAGTTAGACATGCTTTTAATTATGTGGGTCGTAGTTATTATTACCTTCGTCGGTGAGGGTGAGTCTCCACTCTCCATGCATTTCCAACAACTCGGTGCTTTATGAGGAAATTACTTTAGTTAAGTAACCTTCAGAGTTCAGATCAGAAAGTCAATATTATTTCATGATACAATCCAGGAATACTAAAATTATAAATAATGTTGAGCTGGGGTGTGATAAATCAAATCAAAACTAACAGTAGAAGTTAAAGCAAAAGCAGGGAAAATACCTTCCTCAGTCCTCCCCCAATAAAGTCACTCTCCTATATAGCTAGGTCCCATGCATATAAAGAAATAGCATGTGATGAATCCTTGTCACCAACATGCATATTTATAATATTAACCCTCCTTTCCCTTACTATATAAGCAAACCTCTTGCACTGCCCTACGTTCAGTCAGATGAGAATATATCCTCCCTAAGAGCCTGTTATATCCTCCTCTAAATCTCTGAATCTCTCCCTTCAATTTTCACCTGGAAATTCCCTCTAAAGCTACAAAAGAAACTCCACTGAACCTCCTCGATCCCCTTGGAGTTTAAACCCATCTTCAATGGATCCCATCAAGATAGAAAAGCTTCAAGCCATGAACAAATACAAGAGGGATCAGCTTCTCAACAAATTCATCCTCTATTTTTTCACTGCATCCATTTGTGCCCTATTTTGTTCTAGCCCTTTGTGGTTTCCATCCTTGTGTTCTTCCATGAGGTTGCTTCTCTTTGTTCATCTCCCAAAAATTGGGTCTTTCATCTTCCACCCTAAATACCTTTTCATCATCTGCAACCTCATAATCGCCATCTTGGTCGGAGAATCAAAGCTCACAGGCTCGCACTCATCTTCAGCAATTAGCGACACTTATGATGTGTATGTTAGGAGGAACCAAAGCCTTCGGAGGTGCTCTATCACAGAGGAGCAGAAGCCGGATACGCCTTTGATTGAAGAGGGTGTGAAAAGGGGAGGGGAAGATGGAAAAGGAGAAGGAGAAGAAGATGATAGAAATATAGAAAGTGACGAGAACTTGGATGAAGAAGAAGAAGAAGAAGAAGAAGCAGCAGCAGCTGAAGAAGAGTCTGATGAGATGCCCGCTGAGGAGTTTAAAAGGATGGTTGATGATTTCATTGCGAAGGTTAATAAACAAAGGTGGCTTGAGGCTAAGGAACTAGTCTGCTGTAGTGCATGAGAAGTGAATAGGAAATGAGCACCGTCCCTCATCTTCCCACAAACTAAATTAAGTAAGAAACACGAGTAAATAAACCCAGCATCTGAAATAGGAAGTTATATCATCAACACTCTGTTTAGCTAGGTTCGGCTAAAAATTAGGAAGAAGAGACGACTTCATCCAAAATTTCCTTGTATGTAGAAGAAGAGATGGGTGTTGTGGTAAAAGTAGAATCAAGCAGACACATGTTCTTTGATGATAGAGACTACTTATTAAGAATGATCGGTAACATATATATTCCCATAAGAAAAGGTTCCATTAAACCGGGGTCGAAGTCGTCGTCATAGAAGACCCGCGAGCAACTAATTGATTTGACATATCGCCAATTCAATCATTTATTAATGTGTGGATTTTCTTGTGACACCATCAATGATCAATCCCACTTTTCCTCCGGCAATGGCATCACACTTCAAACGGTTCAGAGTACTGAACCCAAGCCGATGGCTAACATTGGGTGAAGATTGATGATCAGGCCAGGCCGGACGTGTCCATGTTTTATATGTTGAATTCATCAAATTAATGCCGGCATTACCATATTATTTGCCTTGATTTGTCTCGTCAATCTCATATCCGAGCAATCAAGGAAATGAAACTTAAATTTTGGGGTAAGAAAAGTAAGGAAATGAAAATCCAATGGCAAACCCAGATGAGTTTCAATTAAATAAAAGTCAGTGTTCAGAAAGAAATATTATATATAAAGGCTTACATTTGTGTTCCAAGTCCACCAAACGGGATTTCCTATTCACTTTTCTTACCCACCGTGAATTGCAGACACTCCTTTTGTGTAGGTGGTGGAAGACTGAAGCCGAAGTTTCCGTATTTGCTCTCTTTCGCTCTCTGTGATTTTGTCAAAAATTCAATGGGCTCAACCCGAAGCCCAAGAGAGAAAGGGCCAAGGGGAGAGCCCAGGAGCCCAGGACTTGATGATGAAATATTTATTGAAAGGCTGAAAGCTGATGGATCAATATTCAAGAAAACAGATAACATGAATTAACAATAATAGGGAAAAACAAGGAGTTTAAAAGCCGCTCGGTTCCGATTCCTCATCTATATCTGTTCTGTTGTGACTCCTTCAGTCCTATTGCCAGTTGCGACCCCTCAATGAGATATTGAGATGGATTGGGGAGTGCTGAAATGTGCTTGGGTCTTGATTTAATACTCCTCTTTGCTTTGCTTAATGGCGAAGATACAAAGATATTTCCTATTATTCCTATATATTCCCCTATTCCAGATGGCTGCGCTGGCGGAAAGCAGTCGTACAGAGACAGAGTCCCGGATCTTCTGCTGCACTTTTTTACCTACACTACTTTTCTTCATTCACACAACACAAGTGTCTCATTACATCTACTACATGTACGTATGTATGTATGGCTATGGGTACACTACGCACACAGGTATAAAAGTTTAGGAACTGGATTACGGATTCCAGCTCCACTGTTTGTTTGTACTCCAATCAATGCACTCTCCCTTACTACTACGTCCCCCCAACCCAACGCTTTTTGCTCCCTTTTATAAAACGAAATGTGTCGGCCATACACACATTCCTCAGATTGGCCATTTAAATCTCAAGCTCATTGGTGATGACTGATGATGGAAGTGAGCCCCATGCACACTTTTTTTTTTGGAAAAGGACAAAGCTCTTTCCAACCTTGGCAAGTTGGGTAATTCCTGTATAAAATATTTATTAATACTGAGTGAAAATAAAAACTAAAGAAAGAAAGAGCTTTTGGGATCCAAGGGAGAAGAATATTCTTCTCTTCTCCCTCTTTTTCTTTGGTTTTTCTTTTTTTATTTTCGCTTTTGCCCGTCGCCAATAATCACTCAATTAGAGAACTTCCACCTCTACTTTGATTTCATGCCCTCATATTTTCTCATGTTATGTGATGCCTCCCAAGAATACTGACATGTGATAACCGTGATGATATATTCCATTATGTTTAATGGGGTGCTTGTAAGGAACTTAGTTCTACAAAGAGGTGGGAAAGGCTACATAGGAAACCGATGTCCACGTAGTTCTTATAGAGTCTTACACCAATGGACCAATAAAATGAATTCTTCCTCTGTTATATATAAAAGGAAGGTCGTTTTTTATCACTACCACAAGCGTTTAGAATTCTTACGAGGACATCACAAGGTTGATACTACAGGTTTTAATCCAAAAATTTGGCTCACATGTTACCTCCTCCATTACGAATAAAGAAAAATCAAAACAAACATGAAAAGAAATACTATAAGCTCAGTTTGGAAGGAGTACAAATGCAAATTTGTTGAGTGCAAAATCTTATATTTTGTATAGTACATATTTGCATTTGTACTCTTTTCAAATTCACTTAATAGATTTTGCAAGAACAAATCGAATTGCTCACTAGATTGAACAGTTACATAAAAGCCACTTGAGACGACTCATAACCTCTTTTAATTATATACATTTTGCACATATTGTAAGGCAAGATAACCGGGCAGTACATCTTTTTTGCTTACTTTTCTTGTGAGGGTCAAATCGGAGTTCGCTACAACCCGAGGCAATCCCCTCATGTAACTTTTTCTAAATGAATATATTCCTCTCCTTTCAATTAAAAAAAAAGGTTATGAGGTTAGAAATCATACCAAATTGCAAACCCCGCCCCACTTTACATTGAAGGTAAAATGTGAATACATATTTATTTTGGACTGAATTGGCACATTAGGGAAATTCAGGTGCTGGATTGGTATGTTTTAAAAGTTCAAGTACTGGATTGATAAATTTTGAAGTTTGGGGACCAAAGTTAGATTAAACCCAAAGTACAGGGTACTAATGTGCAATTTTCCCTAAACAAAACTACAAAGTAAAAATAGTCACCGGCCACACTTTACATTTCACATGCAAGAATTAAACAAACATAGAAACAGAAGACTAAGGTTGTTTTTGGTATCATTGCCACTTCTACTTGCAATTAATGTTTTACGTTGATCAATACAAATTTTATGAGAATATATTTTTCTCGACCATAAAATGGTTTGAGTCATCAATACAACATTTGATATCATTGTTTTTTCTTCAGTTTGGTGTTTCTACTATAAATGTCAACACCTAATCCAATGCTTATATTTTTTAGTAAAAGTGGTTATCCAGTGATGTGAAGTGACAAAACAATTTATTAAAAAATTGTATTAATCAACCTAAAATATTACAAATAGAAGTGGTAATGGTATTAAATACAACCTAAGAAGTGATTATCTAGTGGTATAACATGATTGTTTCCTTCTTACAAAAAAAAAAAAATCATAAACGTACGTTGGCCTAACACACCCTAAAGGAAAAAAAAAGAAGGTTATCCACAAAGTTCTCGTCCAAATTGATGGTGTAGGCCAATAGTTTCAAGCTCAGGCTCTGGAGCTGAATGTATAACTAAGCTATAGAGGCTGCTCATATATCCAGCACTTAAACATGGCAAACCACTCCTTGGGCCGGTACTCTGGAGCTGTGTGTCCTCCGCCGTCCGCCCTGCATAAGAAAAACGTACACTACATCATCAGCTTTCCTTTATTCTATATTACTATGACTATGTCTTCCATTTCTTTTCTATTTGTGCATGACATTGAAGAAAACAAAGGTGTGGAGGAATTAGATATATGTTTTGCCTTCACAGTTGCAAATGCCATGCTATTGGAATAAGCCCTTTTATCTGCACCACAACCAAACACAACGAGCCTACCCTCCAACTTGGCCATCCACAACCCAGGACCTCCAGTCATCAACAATTAATGGAGTAATTGAGAGAATGTATCCATGCTTGAGTGGCCAAGAATGGCATTAAAAAACATGGTTTTTAAAACCAAACCGGTCAGGGGTCCGGTTATTGATTTGAACGATTCGACCGTTTGACTCGAACGATTGGCCCGTTTTAATAATAAAATAAAAAATTTTAAAACAATTAAAACTGTTCAAACGATTAACTGGCTGGTTCAACGATTTGCTGACCAAAACCAGTAATTTTGAGGAAAAAAACAGTTTTAAGGAAAAATGGAACCAATCAAATCATGATCGACCGGTTCCCAATTTTCCGGTCCGGTCCAGTTTTGAAAACCATGCTAAAAAGTCATGATCGATCACCGCTGTTTCAAAGCACAAAAATTAGAAACCTACTATACTATAATTATTAAGAAAATGTAAGTTAGACTTGGACATTACACATTTTATATAATACCTATAAATAAGAGAAGGGTATCCTTTTGTTGCTTAGATTTACATGATGACTGAAGCTGCTTTGGATTTCACGTGTATAAGGTAGCCCTCTGCCATTCCCCTACTGATCATCCCTATTTTCATCATCACATACATAGTTTAATTACTTTCTTAAAAGAGTTTCATTTCATTACAAATAGTATTACTATTCTGATCAGTGATATCCTCCCTCATACCTCATACCTCCTACCTTTCGAATTTGCAATGCTTCTTGGACACTATCATCGTTAGCCCAATAATATAATATAACAAAAGATAAAAGATAATCCTGAAAAATAAAAATGGTATAAACATTTATAGTTTATTGATGCCAGTGGATTATTAAAAGTTAAAAATTAAAACAGAGGATGATAAAGATTAAGAGACCTAACATGCAGCCAAATGCTGGAAGAGGAGGTTCTGGATCAAGGATCTCTCTGGAGTTGTCCTCATCAACATATCTTCTTTCTTCTCCAACATTTTTCTTTTGGCTTCAATTCGGGGATGAGACATAGCAATATGGTTCCAAAATGTGTGAACGTCTAATTCCTGACTTCCAGATAATTAAATATTTAAGCACTGGATACCAATATACCATATATACTTCAAATAGGCACTACCACTATGATTTTCATTATTATAGGAATTAAATAGCTTAGATTGTCGAATTGTCGCGCTCGGTAAGGTTTTTCAGAGTTTCTTGAACCGCACTGAAATACGCTACTGCTATACTATTTCCTGCTGCTATCTATAATAACTAACACACACACACAGATTATAAATGAAATGAATTCTTTTGCACCCGTCTTCTGAAAAACAGCTACTTACTTTGATGTTGATGAATGGTTTTTTCCTCCCATTCATTACCTGCAATATATTATAAACTTGAAGCTTGCATTAAATTACTATATACAATAAATTAAGGCAAATCAATTTGAATTTTGGAATGTAGAGGAGAGTTGAATAATTTATGTTAGTGGTTAAATGATCTACTTTGAAATTGAATAGAAGTAACATATATATATATATGAATACCCCAAACTTGAGAAAAGAAAAAAGCAGTAGGAACATGTATCGATTATACGCCCTTCATCTGCCACTGCCAGACTTGAGCTCAGGAAATAGGAATTCTCTGCTATATCCAGAGAGAGAGAGAACCGTTTAATATATGTAGAACGACAAGCGGGACAATCATGTCGGAATATAAATCTCCACCAATATAGACTGGGTGTGAAAGGAACTCCGGATGATCTATCAACCACTGCAAAATTGGAACCCAATCAACAAGAATACCAACATCTTTCGATTAATTAATTGAAAAAAAAAAGAAAAAGATGAAAACAGATATAGTACCTTCCTAAGAAATTTGTGGGTTTGTTTACATGTTTTAATCAACTTTTTAATTTTCCTATCCATTGCACAGCCCCACTAGTATCTCCCTATTTTTGCCCCTCGACATCAACCAAGGTATAAAGCTGTCCAAGCAGCTGGTTTAGTAGTTTAATAAGAGGAATTCACATGCACACCCCACAGGCGTCCCACATCACATCTCAATCATGTATTGGAAACGTCTCTCAATGATAAGTATGAAAGATGTTCTTAATGTACATGGAGATGTGTATGTAGGGTGCAATCTGTGAGGTGCCAATGTGAAATCCAATGAGACATACAAAAAAAAAAAGAACCAAACATTCAGAAAACAAAGTAGTGAGAATATTCAAAAAATCGAACCATGTATCAACCTGAAAAAAGGGAGAGGTTGTTCAACCGGGGTCGAATTGAGGTTGAACCATAATGTATGTATATATATATATATATAATATAATACATTATAAATTATATATTAGATTATAATACATTCAAAATATATAATTATATTCTATTCTTATAACATATTTATTTTATTTTATATTATAATGTAATGTAATATAATTTATATAATATATATAATATGCACAATTATATGATGTATAATTATATATATATAATATTGATTATATGCATATATTTAAAATCTATAATTATATTCTTCAATAACATATATTTTTATTTTACTTTTTATTTTTTTATATTAAAAATTAAGATTTGAAGTAAAAAGATGTTTTTAACAAAAATAGTGGGACAAAGCATTTTTTTACATTAGAAATACGTAAATCTTGAAAAAATACCTAAAATAAATAAAAAAAATCACCTCAATCAAACGTCCAATGGCCTTTAGAAGTTTGATAGAACCAGTAATCGAAAATCCATTTGAGTTACCAGTTTTGGCCAGTTTTTTACACATTACGATTTTGGAGTATGACTGCCAGGGGCCCGAGTCACGTTTGATCATTCCATCAATAACACGTTAGAACATACTGCTTGTCGGACGTAGAAGTTTTAAGGCTTGGGCCTAGGTTATCTATCTGGGCCGACTTATAAATTTTCTGCCAGGGCCTTGGATTCGTGGATCAGGTTGGGTTGGGCCACGCTATGCCTCTTATCATATGCGCGACCCGGATCCGATGTGATGCATCATGATGTAGCTGCCCACGTGTGTATTGTCGTTTTTTCACCATTCCACTTTCCAACCTTTTTCGTTTTCCTTCCCATCAGCCATCTGCTCTTCAGTCGCTCTTCAGCCTATGTTTAATGTTTCATTCATGTTTGTCTTTTTCACGGAAAGTTTCCTGAGAGACAAGGTTGACCGACTCAGGTATACAGGGAGAAACTGGTGGATCCTTTTTGACCGTCACCTCCTAACTGAGATCACATATATCATGGCAACGTGTCACAATCTTGAGCATCTGATTCCTACATTATCTTCCGGCCTTTAATATAATCCTTTTTAATGACACTAAAAACAAGAATTTGCCATAATACGATGCTTAGACATTCCATATAACAAAATTTGGCAGGTGGCTAATTACATACAAGATCTCCCTCCCCACGCATGGTCATGCCCCATGCGACCGGACTTTTGGGTCCAAACACCAAACGTAATTGTCTAACTGGTCTACAGTCAGGTAAAGTGCTACAAGCAAGATCGGAAGCCGGGCCCGGCCCATTTTTATTTAATTAATATTTTGGGTAAATTACAAAGATTCCTCTTTTACTACGGGGTCAGTGATAAAAGTCTCCCTGTATTTTTATTGCGAAGACTCTTTGAATTTTAGCCATTAGACAAAACCCCATTTTATTATTGTTCTGTCAGTTAATTTTGAAAAAATTTTTATATAACTGTTTAAAGTTTTTAAATATCTAAAGTCTAAATTACCCTTTTATATTGTTCATTGTCTTTAGGTAAAATAACATAAAAACAACGATTTTAAAATATTTAATAAAAAATATTAACGAAATAAAGGGCCCCTTTTATGACGAAGATGAGAAAATGGATGAATTAGAAGACCCACAACATCAAGGCCATAATCATATTATGTGAAATGAAACTCAAAAAAGAAGTAAAACAATTACTGAACAGGCTAGATTTATATATTTCACTGTTTTTTAGGTTAAATAGATTTCAAGAAAAAAAGATAAAAAAATAAGAAAAATTTAATAAAATATTTTAATAATTTAACGCTTTCCGTCATTTGACTCAACGGTATGGCTAAAGTTCAGAGAATTCTTTGTCGCAATAAAAATACAGAGGTCTTTGTAATTTACCCTAATATTATTTTTTTAGAAGCAAATGGGTATCGTTCTCCATTTGGTATCTTAGGGTTGCGTTCAAGCAGCCTTTCGACGATCTCAAAGGACTGATTGCCCTCGATGTTTCCGAAGCGCTCTTCATTCTCTCTTCAAATTCTGAAACTCTGTTTCGCATATCTGTGACCTTGAAGAACCTGAATAAGCTGCTTTTTTCCTGATTTCGAGATTTGAGAAGAAAAATAGGGATGTCTACTCTTCATTCTCCAAATTACACTGCTTCTACTTCTTCTTATAATTGCTGTTTTGCTTCTTCCTCTTCCTCCTCCTCTTCTTCTTCTTCGTTATTTGTGCACTATCGGCGTATAGGGGTACCTTCAGTATCCACGACATATGATCAGAAGAAGGTCTCTCTTCAATATAGAAATGTCGTTCGCATGCAAGATGGTTAGTATTTTTTTTTTAGTTTTGTTTTGGTTGTGTCTTGGCTAATCTACGACTCATCAAAAATGGGTTTTGTGCCTTTCGTTTCTTTACTTGCACTCTTGCTTTATCTCATCGATAATCTGTTATCTCTCTCTAAATCAGTGTCTATTTTCTGTCGTATGAGTTTAGTTGTGAGACCTTTCTTTCATTTCTTTGTTTTGTCGTTTATTATTTGGGACCTTTTCTTACATCTATCACATCTTTAAACTTATTTCTTACATGGATTTGCTCTCTCTTCCTGCGGAAGTATTTCTTTATCTTATTCAATTTTTTTTTTCTTTCTATTACTATTATTATTTTTCATCCCGGGCTTTGCCTTTCTAATACTTTTAGCCTTCTACTTATATTTGTTTATCTTTCGAATGGTCTTCTGGAAGATGTATTGTGGAAAGATGGGATTTGTTTGATTTTTTTTTTTTATTGATACAGGTGCAGTAGCTGCATCTGCTCCCTTGAAGACAAAGGAATTGAAAAGATTGAAGGATGAGTTGCTGTCGGTTAAGTATCCTGCGGAATGTAAAGATTCAACAGGTTTTGGTAGCAAAGAGGAGTCTACTGTCAGTATTACTGTGGTTGGAGCTTCTGGGGATCTTGCGAAAAAGAAGATATTCCCTGCATTATTTGCACTTTTTTACGAAGATTGCCTGCCCAAGGTGTTTTTTTCTTTGACTTTTTTTTTGAGCTAATCTTGAGACTAGCGCTTTTCTTGGTTACACTGGAATTTGAACCGAAAACGAATTTATGGCTGCAGCATTTTACTATTTTTGGTTATGCTCGGAGTAAGATGACCGATGCAGAACTTAGAAACATGGTTAGCAAGACCCTTACTTGCAGAATCGATAAAAGGTGATATACATTATTCATGACTTAGGCTTAGACCTTGTCATTTGATCGTGTCTTGGAGAAGATTATATTTGTTCTAGTTTTGAGTTCGCAGTAAGATCTCCCTTATTTGTTCTTTTCTGTCATGCAGAGTGTAGACAAAGCTAGTTGTTTATTCGTTTGTGACACTGGTTAAACCATGGCCTTTTTTCTACTTTACAGGGAAAATTGTAATGAAAAGATGGAACAATTCCTTAAAAGATGCTTCTACCATTCTGGTCAGTATGACTCTGAGGAAAATTTTGCAGAATTACACAAGAAACTGATGGAACATGAGGTAATTTGGCTATTTTTCAACAGATAAGCCTGTGGTTAACCAAATGGCAGTGCATTCATAAGACTAGCTGATACATTTATCAAGCTCTACTACTCTTCATTCCTGTCCCAACCTGATAGAAGGTTATTCCGTGAGTGAATTTACTTAAATTTTAGAAACCTCTTTTTCTTACTGATCAAGTCAATATTTGTTGGTTCCTTTCAAACCCCAAGCATATCTATGTTTTTTTTTGATAAATCATATCTATGTTGGATGTGAAAATTGGAATTCTTTCCAATTCATCAGAGTGCAAAAGAATAAATATCATTGGGAGGGTTTATTGATGAGTTTTCAACATGTTGAATCATAATTTTGGAAGGTCAGTCAATTAGGATTAAATCAGGATGCATTAGGTGGTGGATTGCCACGGGGATCTTATATTATATTCCTTCACTCCGTTGAATAATATTATATTATTTAGTACCTGAACATTGTAGATAGCTTTTATGTTATTTTCATTGCAAGAATTCTAAAATTGCGTGCTAATGAGTAATGAATATAAATATAATATCCATATTGACATTAACAAGTACACTTTTTTGGTTATTAAATTAGTATTGTTAATAATAATAGCTTCACTTGATTAATTATTTGGTTTTTCCATTGCTTTTTTGGGTTTGTTTATTGTGTAATGAAACCTCTTTTGACTCTTTAAAGAACGTATGTCAAACTCCCACTAGAACCATTCCATAAAAGGTGCAACATTTTATGAGTTTGTAGTTGGGGGGGGGGGTGCTAATCTGCAAAATGGTTGGGAAGAGATTAGGGATTGAAAGATTGACAAAGGGAATTGCACTGACCATTAGGGTTAGGGTACTGCAATGACCAATAGGGTAAGGGTATTGGAGAAGATGATAGATAGGTGAGAGAGTTTTTTCTGTGGGGAGGAAGAGAGATTAGTAAGGTATACTGATAGAGCAGCAATTGCTTGCATCAAATGGTGATTGTTTTCACATGGAAGGAAGAAGAATTGTAGTCAAAGTGGTAGATTAAGTTCATGGAGGAGAGAGCAACTAAGAAGAGCATTGAGGAGGAAATTTGGTATTCTTCTAAGTGAAGTAGGGGTCTTGGTGCATTTGGAACTTGACGTTGCTGAAGGGCCTATTTTTGGTTTGAGTTTTAGTTGTTTTTTGGTTAGGGATGTTATCGATGTTACATTCTGATGTTTAATGTTTGCTCAACAATCTTCTGTTGAATTCCAATTCTTACTTTTTTTTTTTCTTTTAATATATCTTCTTTCTTACTTTATTATAGAAAATGCAAATCTGAGGTCTTGAATTAGTTCCTTTCCTTTTCAATTTCAATTTTCAAGACCATGATGGTGAGTTCTTTGGCAATGGAACTGGAAACAACAAACTAGAGTTATTTTTCCAAGCAATAGTGGACCTTGACTGATACACTGACTAATTAAATGAAAAATACAGTCTGCATTGAGCCATGATCTTTTGAAGTTTGAACTCGAATGGTATCTGAAAACTGTAGTGGGCCCCCATTTTATAATGGTAAGAAGGAAGGGCTACAGTCAAGGCTGGACATGAAGTACTTGTAGCTCAATGATTACCTCACCTCACCTCACCTACTTGTAATTGGTGATGCAAGCTGCAGTCAGAACACCGGCACCAGAAAATATATCTAAAAATGGAAGACATATGATTTTTCATGATCAATTTTAGGAATCAATATTTCAGACTGAACCTTAGGATGACAAGCATGAGAATATGGGTTTGAGTCTGAGAGCAGCCACTTTGTGCAAAAATGCCAATGGTTAGGTTTAGGTCCTTCGCCCAATTCAGCCCTTCTAAGGCCCTATGTAGTGGGAGCTGGCATTGGGTAATGGCCTTTTTTTAATATTCCTGAATGAATGCCTGGTTAGGGTAAGCAGATCTAAACCCATAACAGCTTCACTTATAAAGGGGCAGGCACTCTAGAGGGACTAAGCTCAAGATTATGCTCATCAATCACCTCTAACTGGCTCAGTCTGATTGCATTCCCCAAATGTTTCTACTGGGAGATCTCTATTTCAATATTGTTCGAGGTTAAATCCAGATCAGAAAAAGATGTCTGTTGAATCCATTTGGGAAATATAACTTGCAATCTTTCAAGACAAAACTTTAGATTTAATCTGGGAGATGGAAGCCTTGGTATATCAACTTATGTGGAAAAATCGACTTACATTCTCTGATCATAAGCAGTGGCAATTCACTACTTGAATGAGGTAATCAAGAGGTTTGTGTCTAGGATCAATTATCCTGCATGGATAGAATATAGATGCCTAGGGGGTCAAAATAGTGGCTATCAGTCAATTTCTTGCCATGGTTGTTAAAGTGATACCTAGGTGATAACTGATAAGGCATCTTTTTAGGGTTGTCTTTTTCCTTGGCTTGATGCTTTATATCTGGTGACAAATTTTAGTTATAGTGCAGTTAAACCATATCATATTGTTTAGGCAGGGGTAGCAGGGTAAATGGCCAATCTCAACTAAGAGGCATAAAATGGATTTATGCAAACTGCAACAGCAATGGAAAAGTATGGGAAAGTGTTGTGTTCATTGGGATAGGGCATTAATTTGTAGCCTTCATCATGGTATTCATAACAATGGATTTCTTCCATTTCTCTCTTAATTTTTGTATCACATAATCTCTCTATGTCAGATAAGGGGTTCTACCCCTTCATATGTTCTATTTTATTTTCATTTCATTTCTTTTATTGTTTTTGTAATTGCTTCTCTATTTCTTACTGTGACAAGGATAAGAACTCTGTGCATTTGTAAAAAAAGGGAAAAAAAAAGAATAAGCACTCTGTGTCTGCACCATTTTATCATTTTTGTCAGAACATCTCTCTCTCTCTCTCTCTCTCTCCCTTTCTCCTTGTACACACACACAGAGTAGGGGCTTTCTATTGTTTCCCAGAGATCTTCAAATAATGTTTTTATTGTACTATAAATGTTAAAGTTGTTCATGCTAGGAGGCCTCATGGTGCATTCTATTTGTTGATGACATTGTTTTAATTGATGAAGCAAATGAAGGATTAAATGCAAAATTAAGTAGATCTAAAACAAAATATATGATATATCCTATAAAAACAGAATATCTGATATGTAAATATAATAATAATATGAGTGCTGATCATCAAATAAAAAATAATAATATGAGTGCTGATCAGGGTACACTTAGGATTGGAGACCAAGAGATAACACAATGTGACCTTTTTTGCTATGTGTGTTTGATAATTCATAACAAAGGAAAGATTGAGGGGGGATGTCAACCATAGAATTAGAGTAGGGTGTGCAAAATGGAGGGATGCATCTAGTCTTGTGTGATAGGAGAATTCCACTTAAATTAAAAGGAAATTTTTATAAAGCAGTTGTAGGGCTGGCTATGCTGTATGAAGCAAAGTGTTGGGTAGTCAAGAAACATGTCCAAAAAATGAGTGTAGCAGAAATGTGAATGCTGAGATGGATGGGCAGAAAAACTAGAAAGGATAGGGTCAGAAATGAAGTCATTTGAAGAAACCTAGGAGTAGCTCCAACAGGTGATAAAAATGAGAAAAAGTAGATTAATACAGTTTGGACACATGCGTAAAAGACCATTGACAGCATCTGTAAGGAAAGGACTTGGGTTGAAGTAGTAAAAAATGATTAAATCGCTCATAATTTAACAATAGATATGCCTTTAAACAGAGTGGAATGGTGATACAGATTTATGTAGCTGATCCAAAAAAATAATACAGATTGACTTAGCTGATCCTATATAGTTGGGATAAGGCTTGGATGATGACAATGTTAGATAATTTAGGTCAATTTTAGAAAGATGCATAGATATTCCCCTACTTCAACTAGAGGAACAAGCTAAAATTAACTAGTTCTGTAATATATAGAAATATCATAGTATTTTAATGCGAAGATGGTTGTCTGGTCTCCTAGGAACCAAGGTGCTCTCTCCTATCACCTAGTTGAAGTAGGGAGACATTGCATTCTCTCAGTGAATTCACCGTTTTGAATTTGGGAATCCTTGACCTCTATTTTCTTTTTTACTTTCCTCTTATGTAATTTGTGCAGCACAGATCTTTAACATTTCTGTGCCAATTCTGTTTACTTTTCTTTTCAATATTAAGTATAGCTTAGTGATGATATATGTTTCATGCAGGGTGGGAGGGTTTCAAACCGCCTTTTCTATTTATCAATCCCACCAAATGTATTTATTGATGCTGTAAGATGTGCAAGCTTGTCAGCTTCTTCTGCTAGTGGATGGACTAGGGTTATTGTGGAAAAGCCCTTCGGTCGAGATTCTGAATCCTCCGCTGCTTTGACGAGAGGGCTAAAACAATACATGGCAGAAGACCAGATTTTCAGGTCAGTTATTCATAATTTAGATATGTTTTCCTTGAATGAACGAGCCAAGAAGTTTAACCTCTTAATGTGGTGGATATGGACTTCTTTTACAGGATTGACCACTATTTAGGCAAAGAATTAGTAGAAAACTTATCTGTGCTTCGGTTCTCCAATCTTATTTTTGAACCTCTGTGGTCAAGACAGTATATAAGGAATGTGCAGTTAATCTTCTCTGAAGACTTTGGTACTGAAGGACGAGGAGGGTAAGCCTGTATTTCAGTTTGACATTGGTTTCTGGTTGAAGTTCTTCAACTACTTATTTCCTTTTCTTGTTCAATTTCAGTTACTTTGACAATTATGGGATCATAAGGGACATAATGCAGAACCATCTGTTGCAGATACTAGCCCTTTTTGCCATGGAAACTCCTGTCAGCTTGGACGCAGAAGATATCAGAAATGAAAAGGTTTCCAGAGGAAATAAAGGATATTTCATTGTGCAGTCGTATTATTGTTGATTCTTTATTAAATTGCTAATTATATGCAGGTGAAGGTACTCCGGTCAATGAGGCCGTTGCAACTTGGAGATGTTGTGATAGGGCAGTATAAGAGTCACACAAAGGGGGGTATTACATACCCTGCCTACACAGATGACCAGACTGTGCCAAAGGACAGCCCGACTCCAACCTTTGCTGCAGCTGCGCTCTTTATAGATAATGCAAGATGGGATGGGGTTCCATTTTTGATGAAAGCTGGGAAAGCATTGCATACTAAGAGGCATGCATCGCATTTCTTGTTTGGTTTGTGAGGTTTCCTTTGCTGTGTGCAGGCTGTCAAGTGTTTGCACTGTTGTGTTATAGTTTCTGACAAGGAAATTGGTGTTTCTTGCACTCAGAGCTGAGATAAGGGTACAGTTCAGACATGTTCCTGGTAATTTATACAACAGGAGTTTCGGGACAGATCTTGATAGGTCAACCAATGAGCTCGTTATTCGAGTGCAGCCTGATGAAGCTATTTATTTGAAGATAAATAACAAGGTCCCCGGTTTGGGCATGAGGTTGGATCGTAGTAATTTGAATCTTCACTATGCAGCAAGGTACACGATGGATGTGCTTGGATTATGGTAGCTAATAACCATCTTTATTAATTTAAAACTTAAGAACTTGGATTTCTGTTTCTGTTTTTTTTTTTTTCCCTTTTGGGGAATCCTCTCAATTGAGGGATTTTAGTCGGTTGTCTAAATGGCAAATTGATTGAACACCCACAGTTCCATATTGTTTGAAACACATGGAAGCAAGATAATTCCTGGAGGCTTATGTCAACATGGGTTTGACACATTTCCTTGGTGCACAGCTTTGGTCTGCCATCCGTGAATAAATCCATTATCATTAGATTTCAGTTATATTTGTTAATCATTGTTTTGGCTGATCCCTTGTAGGTATTCCAAGGAGATTCCAGATGCATACGAGAGGCTTCTGCTTGATGCTATTGAGGGGGAAAGGAGGTTGTTCATACGGAGTGATGAGTTGGATGCTGCATGGTCACTCTTCACACCTCTTTTGAAAGAACTGGAAGAGAAGAAGATTATCCCGGAGTACTATCCTTATGGGAGTAGGGGACCCGTTGGGGCTCACTATCTTGCAGCCAGGTACAATGTGCAATGGGGTGACCTCCGCGCAGAGAGGCACCAAACCGATTGATGGATGTCCAACTAACTAGCCAGTAACCTTTGCGGAGGGAGGAAAGCTTGGTGACCCCTTCCACCGGTAGGGCAGGCAGTAGAGGATATTACATTATTACCTAAGATGCTAATGGTAAGCCTTTTTGTTTTGTTTTGGGTTCACCCTCCCTTGTGTGGTTGGGGAAGTGGCAAAATTGTGTGAAAGGCCCTACTTGATAATGGTTAAATTTATGTATTCATTTTTTTTTTTCTTTTCTTTCGGTATTCTCTTTAGTCCGTCTCCCGGACCCCGGGAGTTATTATAATGTGTTGATGACTATAGACTATCCTTCTTGATTTCGTTCTGTTTATATATTCTAAAAAAAAAGAGGCAATCTGTAATGACTAAGAGGTGCTCTCTGTCTCAGCTCTTCCTCTAATGATCCAACCGAGTCCGGGTAAGGGTGTCAACGGACCGGTTTTGGATTGGGCCCCGTCCAGTCCAAAATCATTTTCGATGGATTGGATGGACCAACAGGACATTAGATTGGACCAATCCGGTCCATTGAAATAAAGTAAGAATATAGGTGTCAAAGGTTGGGTTTGGATTGAAACCAATTTAGACCAAAAGGAATTTGAGCAGATTGGATGGTCCACACATTGAATTCGACTGTTCCAAAATAATCCATAATATTCATTGGAATTCATGGATTGGATTGGATTAAATCCAGTCCAATTGACACCCCTACTTGTGTCCCATATGCAGGGGCGGAGTTGGGAGTTTTTATTGAGAAGGCCAAAACTTAAAGAACATGAATAGGAAAGGCCAAAAGCTAGGAAAAATGGGTAAGGGGGTTAAAATATAAGTATAATTTAATTTTGAAGGCATAGGGGGCCATGCTCCCCTATTATAGAGGGATCTAGATTATACTGAGCTCATCAAAACAAACAAATAAAATAATCACAAGGATCACATGTGTTTTACCCGTCCGATGTGATTTTTTGTTCTGAAAATCTGGTATCTTAGAAATTTAAGTGTCTAATCCAACATAATACGTAAATAGAGTAAATTCATTATGCTGATCTATGTTTTTGTGATTTCTTCGAGTGAGTTGTCACCTATTGATAGTTTTGATCTCTACAACTACGAAGGCGGCTAAACCTCACAGAAACCCTCAAACGCATGTGAAGTGGTGAAGTGAAGGCAATGACCCTATGAACAAGCTAGCTACTGCATAGGAAGGATGCCCTACACTTCAAGCCCTACGCTTGTTTCTACACTTCTAATACAGTTTCATCACACGAGAGGTTCCTTCAAACCTTCGAGAAGATGAGAGGGTGGTTGAGCCCTCCATCCGACCCTGGTCATCCAAACACTGTCCCAAACTACTTGGAAGTTGGAACTGTGAAGGAGAAAAGCTCTCGTCTTGATGTCTCCTCCTTGCAGCAGTAGCTTGTTGGCCGGTCTGTCGGTTTTGGGCGGTTTTCTACTTATGACCAAACACTAATGTCTCTATTCAAACCCAAACCCGACCTGACTTAATTCAACAACATACAACATCCAATGATGTAATATTCAAACCGATATTTGTAATTATTCTTGACCAAAATGTTTACTTTTCAATTTTTTTTCTTCATTGCTATTTAAATCTTTCACTTTTCTTTATATGATTTATTTTTCAAATCTGCCCTGTTCAAAAATAAAAGTTACACTTTTAAATTCTCTTATTGGTTCATAAAATTTTAAATTCTCTTTTCAAGTTTCAGGAAGCTCTCGTGTTGGTGTTTTTGATGGGGTGGTGGACCTCTGTTCTCGTTGGAAACTGGAAAGTGTACGAGTGTAGGGCTAAGTTTAGGAAAACTGAACGAGCGCTTAGAAGTTAGAACGATCGTTCTTAATCAGAGGGGGGAGGGCCAAAATGTTGATAGAGAGGTTTTACTAGCTACTATGGGTAGCCATCTGGCCAGTGACGTGGCGTTCTTTTATTGTGACACTGTCGCGTATCTGACTCAGCGCTGGCACGTAGTCTAATTCTTAAATTCCCTTGAGCTACGTGTCCTGTCAAGCCTTTTTGGTAAACACGTGTCGATGTTGTGTCCTAGCAACCTTTATTCTTAAATTATGTAAGCTTCTTCTCTTCATCTTCCGGTCTCGTCATCATCATCGTCGTCTTCTCATTCTCAAGTCTCGACATGGACCAGCAACAGCAGATACGAAAATTCATGAATATCGTGGCTCCTCCAGTTATCCTCCTCACACTTGTTCTCCTCTCACCGCCATTTCTTGTTCTCGAGTTTTTTCTCTCCATCCTTAGATCCTTTTTCAGCGAAAACGTGGCCGGGAAGGTCGTGCTCATCACGGGTGCTTCGTCAGGGATTGGCAAGGTTCCTGTACACCTATATTTATTATTTATAGACATCAGTTGCTTCTTTCTTAATTCTTCTTTATTTGGTGGTGCAGCAACTCGCTTACCAGTATGCCAAGAAGGGAGCATGCTTAGTCCTGGTTGCAAGGAGACAAAACCTTCTTGAAGAGGTGGCGGAAAAAGCTCGTTTGTTGGGCTCGCCGGATGTTATGTCGGTGCAAGCAGATGTCTCCAAGGTCGACGACTGCCAACGGTTTATTGATGAAACAGTAAATCACTTCGGCCGATGTGAGTGTGTTGAATTGAAGCCCATTCCCCATCTCCAACTTCAACGTTATTGATCTTATGACCGATCGTTCTTCATTCGGTGCAACCTGTAACGTGATTTTTTTTTTGTTAGTCATATTTAATTGTATGCCTTGCTCTATCTTTTGAGTTTCGACAGTGGACCATCTGGTTACTAACGCTGGGATCGGATCCGTCTGCATGTTCGAAGATTCAACTGAAATCAATAAATTCACTCCGGTTATGGTAAGCAGATTGATCGATACCCCTTCTTCTCTTTACCCACTTCTTCTCTTTACCCAACAGAAGCCAGAAGGAAAAAAAAACAACTAGCATGTATTGTATCTGTATGGTAGAAAACGGAATTCATAAACTTGGATCACAGGGGATAAACTTTTGGGGATCAATATATGCCACGCACTTCGCTGCCCCTCACTTAAGAAACAGCAAAGGAAAGATGATAGTGATCGCCTCTTTAGCCGGATGGTTACCCGTGCCTAGGATGAGCTTCTATTGTGTAAGTAGTTGATTAACCTTCGACTCTGTCTATTATTGGAAGGCCTCCTCTGGTCCATGATATTATACCTCAGCTGAGCTCCTAATTATTTTTTGTTTTGTTTTGGACTTTTGGTCGATCAGGCAAGTAAAGCGGCACTGATAAAGTTCCATGAGACATATAGAATTGAGTATGGAGCAGATATCAGAAGCGTAATTGTGGTTCCAGGGCTTATAGAGTCGGAAATGACAAAGGGGAGATTCCTATCAAATGAAGGCGTATTAATGGAGGTTGATGAAGAAAGCAGAGAAGTGGAAGTTGGGGTGTTCCCATATGCAAGCACCGAGGGATGTGCTAAGCATATCGTGGATGGCGCTTGCCGAGGAGAGCCATACGTGATAGAGCCAAGGTGGTACAAGGCGGCCATCTTCTGCAGGTCTCTTTGTCCTGAAGTGCTGGAATGGTTTTACCGCTTGGTCTACGGCACCTTACTTGGGGCTTTGTTGAGAGGGGGTTTGAGTAAATACTGGATGTCCAGGATGACCACCAAATCCCCCACCCATCCTCAACCCAATCTCCTCACCAAATCGCTAGTCGACTGATATCAACTGCCGGCCGGCCGGCCTACGTTTGAGTAAATACTGGTACAAGTTTGCACCTTTGGAAGCAAAAGCAAACTAAGGCGAAAAAAGAGAAACAAAGAGGCTTTTAGCATAAATTCTTGGGCCAGATCGTTTATATAGCATATTGATCGTGCATTTGTTTTGGACAAACTGTCCTGGTTGACATGTTACAGCCCACGATAGTTGAGGGTGCCTGGCCTGGCCCAGGATAATCCACTGGGTTTGCAAGCCCATTATTCACTGTTTTTATTCTATAAAACTCATTTGATTTTTTCTTTGTTAAAGACTCTTTGATGTTAAATAGTTCTTCAATGTCTTTTGACTCTTTTCATGTGTTTTTTTTTGTAGTATTTACTCAAATACAATAATTATTATAGTGGTTTAATTTGTAATTTTCATCCATCTAATTGTTGTTATTATAAGGCCATGTTTGTCTTCTAGCTAGTTGAAATAGTTCACCTATTATTTTTATTTTGCAGTGAGGAAATTTTGCCTTTTTTTCCCATTTTAGGTCTTCAAATAATAATAATAATAATAATAATAATAATAATAATAATAATAATAATAATAATAATAATAATAATAATAATTTGTTTTGATGTAAAAGGCAAGACTATTTTGTGAATTTTAAATAATAATTTGTTTTAATATAAATTTCAAAATGAATATATTATGTGAGTTAAAATGACAATGGGATGGGAAGATTCGAACCAGGGCATATGAGTCATCAAAATTCACGGGGGTTGTGATTGGTCAAAGTTCTTCAATGAATTTTGATAAATAACACCTGATTGTTACCACATCCATTGGTCTTTCAGATATCATATCTTTTTCATATGTGGAACCCTTTCAGACTACTATGTGAAAATCTAAGGAATCCATTTTATCTCCTCTTCTCTCTCTTGTGAACTTGCCAGCGTACAAGGGGAAGTGGGTCGTCGGTGAATGGTTAAACCATGGTTTTCAAAACCGGATTGGATCGGAAAAACTGGGAACCGATCAAGTGATTCGTTCTGCTTTTCCCAAAACCGTTTTTTTCGATTAACGGTTGGACCATTTGAACCGGTAACTGGACCCTGACCGGTTCGGTTTTTAAAACCATGGGTTAAATTTCAACAACATTCTGTCTGAAATGATGAACCAAAGCTGATGAAAACTCCCCTTCTTTACAATATTGAAGAGTGAAAACAGTGAAAATAAAAAGTTGTGTGAATAAATTAAAAAACTAAAGTGGTGACCCTCGTGTTTGTGTACAAGGACAGTACAGGAGAAGCCAGTATCCAAGAAAGACCCAAATAAGATATGAAATTGACGATACGTTACATGAATCATATAAAATCTTTAATCCCGAGTTCCGACCTAATTTTTCTAATTATATGCAGACTTACATCATTGTAAGAAGTTTTGAGAGTAGATTAGGTACGTAGTTGGGCAGACAGGGCATGCATAATGCATTGATATATCCCGTGAGTGCATTAGAGGCATACTCCCGTAACAAAGGCACTGTTGATATATAAATGGATGCACATGTGGGGATGAATGGACTGGACTCCTTTTCTATGCGGGTTGCACTTGCACATCCATCCAAGTGCAGAGCAGCCATGGACGTGATTCACAAGTTCATCCATTTGGTGCTCCCCCCTGTTATCGTCGTTACTCTGTGTCTCATTCTTCCTTTCATATTCACAATGAAGCTCGTCTTTTCTCTCATCATGAGACCATCGCCTCTATCTGGGGAGAACATGAGCGGAAAGGTTGTTCTCATTACCGGTGGTTCTTCGGGTATCGGAGAGGTACATTACATTAATTCATTTTTATTAAATAATATATATATATATATATATATATATACATTTTTTTTTTCTTTTGTTATATAATAGCCCATTAAATTACTACTGTATAAGTGTATATTGATTGGTTTGACTGATGTAATTAAGTAATTAATTGGCTCTTGTCATCAAACAGCACCTTGCTTATGAATATGCCAAGGGAGGAGCTTCTCTGGTCCTCATTGCCAGAAGGGAGAATAGTCTAAGAGAAGTTGCTAGGAAGGCTGTTGGGCTTGGTTCCCCTGATGTTTTGGTTGTTGGTGCAGATGTTTCCAAGGTAGACGAATGTAAGCAATTTGTTGAAGCAGCTGTGAACCATTTCGGCCGATGTAAGTGAATCGAGTTATTTATAGATGTGGTTTTAATTTAGAATCCTGCGATTCTTAATTAATATAAATGAATTATGCAGTGGACCATCTTGTATGTAATGCCGGGATCATCAGCTTCTGTGCCTTCAAAGACGTAACCAGTATCGCCAGTTGCACATCTCTCATGGTATATATATGTATATATAGTGCATGATTCATTCATTAATTTTCCTGGATTAAATTAATTAATTTATGTCCATTACGTTCGCCCACAACAGCATCAATATATATATAATGGGTGCTGTGCAGGATATTAACTTTTGGGGATCATTTTATCCCACTTATTTCGCTGTTCCACACCTGAAAAGGAGCAAAGGCAAGATCATCGTCAATGCTTCGTCATCTGGCTGGATGGGCTCACCCGCAATGACTTTTTATGGTGTATGAACGTCACATTCACAACATTGATGTTTAAATTTAATTTTATCTGTCTTTTCTATTACTCTTAATTTGTTGGAAATTTGGGATTGATTCTTCTTTTTCTTTGTTGGTTGCTGGTAAGGCAACTAAAGCTGCACTAATAAACCATTACGAGAAGTTGAGAACGGAATTGGCTCCTGATGGTGTGCAATCCGGCCGGTTCTAACTGTCAATGATCTTGTCTCTGGTTGGAGCAAAAGGTGCCTGAAACGGAGGAGAAAGCGAGTAATCTCCAGGGAAGAACCCAGTGAGAGTGCTCCGAAGCTCAAATTAGTATTTCTCTCTTCTTGGGGGGAAGGGAGCCTTTTATAACCACTTCGCGCACTCACTCCCAAGCTCCTGTCAGGTCGGGTATGATTACCTTTGCACTTCTGCCAGTTCATGTGTCATCACCTCTGCTGGGGCAGAACCGCTACTGCTCTCTTTGTCGGAGCCGTCTCTGTAACTGGAGGTGGCGGTGGCAGGTGGCCGTTGAAGTGCGACTGTCAAGCGTCAGATCCTAAGTCAGTCAGGTGCGTCGCCTCAGGATACGAACTCCTTTGGTGTCAGGTACAGTACGGTTGTTCAGTTTGGCGTCCTGGAGACGAAGTGCTGGAGTTGTGTGCGAGGTGAAGTCTTGAGTTCGGATAGAGGTGTGGCCTGAACTACCCTGGAGCGGGCCAGTTCGGGTTGTTGCCATTTGCGCTCCTCGTAAGGCTCGGGGTCAAAGGGAGAGTTCAGGTTCCTTTTGGGGAGCTTGGACCGCTGGTTCCTCCTTTCGGAGCTCGCGCCTTGGGTGTACTGTCGTGCCGAACTGTTGCCTCTGCCACGTGTTTAGTTGTTACGAGGTCGGGCCAAATCTTCCTTCATCAATTGCCCCCTAGTCCTCGCGCTAAGGGGCTTGCCCTGGCGCGGGGAGTTCGCAAGGTGGCGGGTGGATTTGACCCGTACTTCGAACTGGTTTGACAGATAGCGTGAAATGCGTGTTCGTCAGGAGTTTTCCGGTTTTCTCGAGCGCCAAAAAGTCAGGAAACGCGCCAATCAGTCTATAAATGCTGAAAGACGTGACAACGCGCGTTTATTTCAAAATTTAAAAAATGCGCCGCTGGGAGACTTAACAGCGCGTGTTATTTCAAATTTGAAAAACGTGCCGCTGCCGCCTTTAATGCAGGGAGACGTGCACCGATGCTCCTTTAGTTTCAAAAGACGTGCAGCCAGTCACGTCTCGGTCTTAGGAGACGTGCGGTTAGCGCGATCGTGGGCCGTTGGATTTGCCTCGATTAGAACCGTCGGTTTTCGGTTACTATGGGTATAAATAGTGGGGGACCCCAGTCGCTTTTCATTGCCATTCTCCTGCGTTTTGCTTCTTGAGCTCGCGTCCAAGTTTTAGCTCGCAACCCTGTTTTTAGCTCGCGTCAAAGTTTTCGTAGTCCGTTTGCTTTTTCCGGGTGAGTCTACTTTCTTCCTGGTATCCTTTTCCTCCCAATGTCTAGCTCGGATAGCTCAAACAGTTCTTCGAGGGGGTCAGATGTAGGTTCTACGAATCGAGCTGCATCCCCCGACAACCTTAGTGAACCCGAGGTAGAGCTCGAGGAGGAGTTCGAGGAAGAGTTCGGATCCGTAGGCCGAGGCGCCTCAGGTAGTTTGGCGTCCTCCTCCCGTCGAGGCCGGACGTTAGACAAGTTTGGGCCCTCGACCATGACGCTTGAGGGGCTTTACTCCCTTATCACCCTGTTCAACTTGCCTAGGGAGTACACTTACTTTATACCCTCGGGCGACTTCCCTTGGGAACACGGTCCCGATGAGATCGTGATATTCCGGGAGCAGCTCGTCGTTGGGTTGCGCCTACCTTTCCACCCCCTCATCGTCGAGGTTATGAACCACTTCGGCGTTACCGTCGGCCAGATTCACCCGAATTCTATTCGTAACTTGGTGGGGACTATCTCCCTCTTTTGCGAATAGATCTTGCCTTTAGACCTGGAGATCTTTTCTACCATTCTAATGCTTAAGAAGCAAGCGGGTCCCCTTCCCGGGCGTAGGCGGGCGTACTACCTGTCTCCTTGCCCGGGGTTCAAACTTTTACATGATCTTCCCAACAAGGTCCCAACGTGGAAACGAGATTACTTCAGGGTGCGAAGTGCAATGGGGTGGCCGTTCCAAACTGGGGGGGGGATGGCTGCCCCCGATGCCGGTGTTACGCTTGATAGGGAGACGGCGAAGGGCCTCCGGGAATGGGCACAGCTTGGGCTAAAATGCCACCATTATCTGACGGAGGCCAAGCTCATTGAGGCCGGTCTGAGTTCGGGTAGGTTCCTTGCTCAGATGCTTGCCTTTTGTTTTGCTTTCCGTTCTTTCGTTTTCCTGATGCCGAGCTCTTTTTGCAGGTGCGATGGACGCAGAGAAGACTCACGGTGGGAACCTGTTTCATGTCATGAAGAGGAGGAAGCGAGTCGCCAAACGGACTCGTGCCGAACTGCCCCGAGATGTGGAGCCCGAGGTACCGGGTTACTCGTCAGTGGATCCGCCCAGGGAGCCCGAGATGGCCCCTCCAGTACAAGATGCGGCAGGGGGCCCTTATGCCGAGGCTGCTTATATGGAGGCTCCTGCTTACACCGAGTGCTTATACGCGAGCTGGGCCTTTAGGCTCGGGAGGCCAAGGCGAGTTTAGGAGCGTGTTGTCGCCGAACCACACTCTTCAAAAAAGTAGGGAGGCCGTTTACCTTGAGGAGGTCGCGGCGTGGACCGAGCTTCCTTTGAACCATGTAGCCGGGCGTGCTGCCTCTTATGCCATGGTGGTAAGTCAACGACTTCTTGTCGGGCTCCTTGTCATTATCTTTCTTGCTATTGCTCTTTTGAACACTCGTTATTTTTCCTTTTGGTAGGTGAACTCCTTCATTCATGCCTTAGCGGCCCAAGCGGAAAGGAGCTCGAGGCGGGCACGAGCTGCTGAAGAGGCTTCCCGCGCTGCCGAGGCGCTTCTCGGGCTGCTGAAGCGGCTTCTCGCGCTGCACAAGCCAGGCTGGCGAGGTCTCAGAGAGACACCGAGGCCATGGGAGTGGTGGTGAAGCATATGGCGGACCTGAGGCTGGACTTGCAGCATCAGGTCGAATACCTTCGAGAGGATATTAGGGAGAGGACAAAGATCTTTTCTCAGGGCATCGATGATGCCAAGAAGGAGTCCGTTGATGACTATATCGCCTCATCGCGTTTTGACGACCTGATGGTGGGCTCGTACAGGAGGGGCTTTAAACTGAGCCGGTGGATGATCCGGAATACGTACCCCGACCTCGATATTAGCACCATAACCACTTCGCGCATTACTCAGGAGATGGCCAACGCTACTGATGGTGATTTAGATTCTGAGGACGAGGCAGGACCTTCGGGTATCGTTGAAGTGCCTTCTGATGGTGAAGAAGTACATCCGAGCCTGTGAGCTCGCTTCTGTTGTTTTTTTTTTTTGGAATGTAAACAAAGTATTTTGCAATGGAATGATTTTCTTTTGGTTAAGTGTTGGTCACTCTTTCTTCCGAACTGATCGTATTTCCGAACTGACCATATGCCCAATTCGTTTTTTGCCCGGGTTACTGCACTCGTGCGGCCTATTTTGGTGTTAACACTTGGCCTCTGAGATGCTGATGTCCCTATTAGTTCGCTGTTAGCACTTTGCCTAAGCTTTTGGTTAGCATTTTTTGCCTTTGGTTGCCCATGCCGAGGTCCTCGTTAGCTTGGCATTCTAGCCCTTAGGCTCTGGTAGCGACTCTTAGTCCACTTCGCTTGGTGATCTATAGGTAGTATCGTCTCAAGTTAACGACATTCCACGCTCGGGGTACTTGTTTGCCCTCTAAAGTTTCATGGTCGTATGCTCCCCCGAGCGCTCTCTTTACTCGGTAGGGCCCTTCCCAATTCGGTCCAAGTTTGCCCACGCCGGGCTTGGGTGCCATGATCTTACAGAGAACCAGGTCGCCGACGCAGAAGTTCCTCTTTTTTACTCTGGCATTGTAGTACCGAGCTACTCTTTGCTGGTAAGCTGCGGTCCGGATGTATGCGAGGTCTCTTACCTCATCCAGTAGGTCGAGGTTGGTACGTAACTCGTCTCTGTTTGTCTGATCATCATATGCTTCTAGTCGTAGTGTAGGTACTTCGATCTCCGCCGGGATTACCGCTTCAGTGCCGTAGGTGAGGTTAAAGGGGGTCTCTCCCGTGGCAGTTTTTTCCGTAGTTCGGTGAGCCCATAGAATACTTGGTAGCTCGTCCGCCCACAACCCTTTAGCTCGGTCTAGTCGTGCTTTCAGTCCGCGGAGGATAGCTCTTCTCATCACTTCTGTTTGACCGTTTGCCTGCGGGTGCGCGACTGATGTGAAGTTCTGCCGAATCCCCATATCTTGGCACCATTCCTGAAACTTGATGTCCTCGAACTTCTTGCCATTGTCGGAGATCAATACCCGAGGTAACCCGAAGCGACATACTATGTTCTTCCAAAAGAAGTTCTGTACATTTCGAGCTGTAACTGTTGCGAGAGGTTCAGCTTCTATCCACTTTGTGAAGTAATCTACCGCCACCACTAGGAACTTCCTCCCACCTGTTG